TATGTTCCTATCGAATTTTAGGATTTTAAACCGCCAAAGCGCCCATTCCGTCGCATGACGTACTCGCAGGCTATTGATTGGCTCATTGAACATGATGTACGTAATGAACATGGAGAGAAGTTCGTGCATGGAGAGGACATCGCCGAGGCAGCTGAAAGGAAAATGACCGATACAATTGGAGAGGTAATATTTTAATTGTTTGAGCTAATCTTCTAGATGGCCGACACCAGCTGTTCGATTTCCCTGCTTTGACTTACGAGGTGTGTCAGGAGATCCGAATTCCGGTGTGGTATTGCGCGGTATTCGCACCAAACTTGGTTTAGCGTAAGTTGCTGCAGTATACCGAGTCATTTAGCAAAGAATGCCGCGTGCGCGCCAAGCTAGTTCCCCGTGTCGCAGCAGTTCGGATCTTCTGACCCAGTCCCACCCTTGGGGTGGCAGTATATTTATGGCGATTCGTGCTTATCAGTGAGATTACAGCCAATTCTGCTCAACAGATTCCCAGCTGGTATCAAGTCGTTCTACATGGCACGATGCCAAGATGACAACGAGCTTACTGAATCAGTGGATCTTTTGATGCCGGGTGAGTACTTCCTTTTTCTCGGATTTCCTTTTTTGTTTAGCTTTGGTTCCCTGAATAGAAATAATTGTTAGCGGTAGGTTGAAAGATTTGGGGCTGAGGGGAGGGGGACGCAGCGACAAGGCTAGGCCGCACTTATCCTCCGAAACTGAAACTGGGAATAAGGGGGCTACTATATCACTAAGAGGTCACAGGCATTCAAACGTACCATTGTATGTCACGTGCGTATGTCATTCCCTGCCCGCAGCTTCTTCTGCCCCTTATTTTAATGACAGTGCTGAGAATAGTTTAGAATCATGTGTTTCAAGGTGTTGGTGAGATAGTTGGAGGTTCAATGCGTATATGGAGCGAAGAAGAACTTCATAAAGCTTTTACCGGAGCAGGAATCGATGCGAAGAATTACTTCTGGTAAGATTATTCATGAATTTCGGCGAACTGTTTGCTTTGAGCTATGTGGTTCACTTACTCCGTTTGCTTGGTTTTGTTCGGGAGGTCCATATTGTGGCAACGTTACGGGCGTCACGTGCGCGGCATTCGATCCAGGACCTGGTTAATTTAAGCGGGGATTGCTTCGAGTCTGTGATGATGTAGTTCGGATGGGTCTCGCAGGAAGCGAGCTCATCTGAGCTGCTCGTTAGATGGTCAAGACAATCATAATTCGCCGGAAGCCGCGCGCACTAGCTGACCAGCGTTGCGTATTTTAGTTTGCATTAGCCTGTCGACTGGGGCGCCGAAATCAGTGTAGACGACGTCGTATACATTTATGGCTATTTTTAGTTATACGTTCTGTATTATGGCCATTTACGACATAGAGACGTCCTTATTTGTTGGCGCGACGTCGCGAACGACGCCCTCCGGCGTGGCGAAGTACGATTGTCTCGTCAAACACCCGCCCTGCCCAGGCCGCGTGAGCTGTGGTTATCTCTGCTGTGCTAACAGAAAACCTTGAAAAGAGGGTACAGATGCGCCGCTATATGACCCCCTCGCAAACCAAGTTAGCCCGGAGTCATAAAGCTAGTACGTCGTCGGAATGTGGAACTCCTAACCGGCTTTCGGGACAAAGTATGTTTCAATATTTTCAAGGTACACGGATCAAAGAAAATATGGGTCTGTTCCTCATGGAGGTTATGGTCTAGGATTGGAGCGATTTATATGTTGGTTGACAAACTCCTATCATATTAGGGATGTTTGTTTGTATCCTCGGTTTATTGGACGATGTGCACCTTAAAACGTTTGAAATTGTTCTTGAAAAGCTTGTTTGTTTCATTTTCATTGTTATTGAACGAGCTGTCGCGTTGTTGTTAATATTATTGTAGTATGAAAGGGTGTGGAATCTTGTTGAGCTCGTTTTCACATTTTATTTAGCTCTTTATATGCAGAGCTTTCGGAAAATGTCGATTTTATGCGTTACGATCGATAATCTATTGCATCCCATGCACGCGTGCTCTTTAAGAGCGCGTTCATACTTTGCGATCCGATTACGATCGTACGATTGCATCGCGAAGTATGAAACGTTCTCAGAAGAGGTAGTTCCGATTTACGTGTGCAGTTTTTTTCATCAATCGATATGCATCTTTTGCACGCGTAGCGAGGCTATATGACATGTGAAAATGACCAGACATCTATGGAATATTGATGCCCCTAGTTTATACAGCGCTTATGATTTCATTTGTTCTTGTTTTATCTTAAATTGCATCCATTCCCATTATTAATACAATGGACCTGTTTGTAGTCATATCTGACTTAGTTCGACTTGATGGGGGCATCATGGCACTCAGGTAAGCCTGCACAAGACACGTTGTAAAAACCTGTAAAATCCTGTTGCTGAAACGGCTCACTTGTTTTGCAGCTTCACACGAATTTACATGTCCAGCCAAAGCGGGACCGAAACCACGGTAACATGTACCAACCAAAGGAGCTAGCAAAAGTGCAAAATGCCTCCACCAAGCCAAACAGCGCCTCATATCTTTAACACTAATTGAGGTTAAGAAATTGA